TGTAAGAAAGAATATTTTTTCCTTTATGGATAAATTCAGCTTTTCAAGAATCCTACATTTGTACTTCTTTGAGATCTGAAAAAAGAAAGAAAAAAAATTAATAACAATATCTATGTAAAAATAACTTCCATTAATAAATGTATCAATATCTAGTAAGCTGAGCCTATTGTCTGGTAGTAGGGGAGGCACCTAGTGAGTAAATTCATTACTATGCAGCTAACTTGTTTAACAACCCCTGAAGATAGTTATAGCTTAAGGTTGTTAGCCATTACAACACAACTTCACTTTAGCAAGTTTTATCCTGAGTGCCCTCACACTTGTGGCCTTGTGCCAGACTAAGCTTATTAAAAGAAGGTGCTGAAAAGTTATCAGCTTGGTCCACTCCCCAAAATCCTTTATTTTGGAATCCCTTCTTGATCAAGTGGAGAATTTCTCACCACCATTCTTGGAGAAATAATTCATAAAGTGACACATAAGGGAGATAATCATGAAACTATTTAGAAGCACTGTGTAATATTGGGGAACCAGATACCCCTTGGCACAAATTTTCATTTAAAATGCCGGTTTTGAGTAATATTTACTGTATAAGACTAAATTATTATACAGCTTGTTAGTCAAACCAATATACTTAGTTGTTATACTCAATGTAGCAACATAGTCTGTAACCTACTGAGAATTTTGAATCAAACTCTTTATTCAGTCCATGGGAATAGCTTGTTCTCCTTCTTAGAGGAGATAAACTCCTTTCAGTTGATACTCACCAGTATTATTTACCTTTGTGTCTGTAGCAAAAAGTTTGTAAAATTCTAGTTATTTTTGGTTTGTAATCAATTCCTCCAATCCATTTATTTTAGTCAAACTATCCACTGAACAACAAACATGTGTCGCCTGTTCAATACAGCAGTAAGATTTCTGCCTATCACCTCATTAGGCCCCCCCCTTTTTGATGTCCTCGTTGGTAGCTAAAATTTACTTAAGTGAAAATGCTCTCACGGGAGTGTTTTCACTTATCTGTTTAAAATATGTGATCTGTGAAACTGCTATTTTTCTTTTGGGGACAGTATACATGTAAAACATATCCAAATCTGTTTTCATCTTGTAGGGTAACCCATTTTCACAAGTGTTACACTGAATGTTGCAAAAAATGCATGCAGCCCTGGGACTCTTTGCCCTCTGTGGTAGTTCACTATTCTTCTTTTATGCGCCTGGTACTTTCAGGACATAGTCAGTCATGGCTCTCCCCAATTTCCTGTCCTTTGTAGCTTCTATTAAATGTTGTCTCCTAAACCTTTCCCCACTTTCCATTTATAAAAACATGCTAGATAAGTTATGTTGTCCCACTTGCTTTCAATGTATCCTGTGAGTATCAAATTTTCCAAGCCATCTTTCCTCATATGCCCTAGAAATTTCAACTGTCTCTTCTGGGTAATAAGTATAAGTGTCCTTTTTGCTTCCATTTTCTTTAAAACTTTTTTTATTTCTCACACATTTGGTCCATGGTATTCTCAGCATCCTTCAATAGAAACTCATTTCTGTTGCTTCAAGTCTCTTCATCTTTGAGCAGGTTGTCCTGCATTCACTGCCATATAGGAGGACTGATATTATGTAACAGTTCAGTACACTTTTCTTTGTTTCTTTTGCTTCAAGTGTGATTGTCCAGCATTCACTGTCATATAGGAGGACTGATGTTACATTACTATTTTCTATGTTACTAATGAAATTTTACTATTTCTTAATACTTAGCTTTTGGAAGGCATCTTTTGCTCTCACATTGTGTCTACAGTTTTCACTGTTGCAATTTCTATCCTTTGTTACAACACTTCCCAGATATTTAAATTGATCTGTTTGATTTCTGTTTCTCCAATTTATAATTTGCATGTTAAGATATTTCTTTTGATTCCATGCTTTCTATCTTCTTGCAATTCAGAAATTACTGTGTTTTGAAACTTGACTCAAATCCTAAAGTTTAATTTCAATATTAAACTTTAAATTTAGAGTACAGTTTCCTTCTAAAGTGATGTGTAGAATAACTGAAGAAATGTTTTATTCATTTATAGGTTGGAAATGGAGGTGTAATCTGTGGATTTTTTGTCTTTTGTTATCAATAAAAAAATACAACCCAATCATATCTAAGCACCCCTTTAAAAACCATCAATAAAAAAAACAAATTAACCCCCAAAAGACTAACAATAACATCGGTCAGTAGGTTTTAAAGGTTTTAACAAATAGTAATAAAAACAACAGGGCCTAGAGAGGAAAAAAAAGGCCATTGTAGCCAGACAAATTCCCCCAACCGATCAAGTGAGCCCTTGATAACACAAGAAAAAAAACAAAAAAAACTCCACATTACACCTCCATTTCCAACCTATAAATGAGTATAACATTTCCTTAGTCGAAACATCGCTTGAGAATGAAACTGTGCTCTAAACTTTAAGTTTAATATTGAAATTAAACTTTAGGACTTGAGTAAAGTCTTGAAACATAGTAATTTCTGTGTCTTGATGGAATGATTTTAAAAATATATATAAAAAGCCGAAGAAAAAAAAAAACTATCCTTAACTGATGTTTCATCCTCTGAGGGGATTTATCAAGGGAAATGTAAGATTTATTTTGTTGCATGTGTCTATATACAAGAGCAAGGATGTCATTGGTTTATTGTACTCTACCTGTAAAAAGAGAATATGAAGAAAGACAAAAGAAAAACTCATCCGATGTGTTTCGCAACTCTGTGCGAGTTTATCAAGGCAAATGCAAGAATTTTATTTTGTAACAAGTATTTATAGACAAGAACAAAAATATTATTGGTTTTTTAAAATTTTAAAATTTAACAGACGCTCATAAATATTCATCAGGTTAGCTGAAATGTCAGGCAAGCTATGGGGGATGCAAAGTGATACAATTCAATGTCTAATAAAAAAAAAAAAACTTCAAAAACATCACTTGGTCACTTTCATTTATTAGACATTGAATTGTATCACTTTGCATCCCCCATACTTTACCTGACACTTCAGCTAATCTGATGAATATTGATGAGTTCCGAACTCAAAAATTTAAAAAAAATCAATAACATTTTTGCTCTTGTCTATAACTACTAGTTGCAAAATAAAATCCTTGCATTTGCATTGATAAAGTCCTTTTTATTAAATTTGTCCTAAACTTGGTTTTCCGTTTGTGTGTGTGTATATATATATATATATATATATATATATATATATATATATATATACACACAATAAAGCCAAAATCCACTGTACTGTTTCCTGCAGTTCTTCAGTCTTGCTAGACATCCGGTTGCCTCTAGCTAGAATCGAAACCTGACTGAATTGATGTCAGTCGGAGATTCTACCACTAAGCCATCAGATGAAGGTGAATTTTAGCATATTTATTTTTTAGATAAACACACGCAGTGACCAACACACACACACACACACAAGGTGCGATGGGTAAATTGTCGCCAGTTTATATTTTTAATTTCGCACATGTATATTATGTTTTTGATTTTGATGACTGCACAGTATAGTGGGATCAGTTGGGAACTGTCTGAGAAAAGAGTGTCATGACACAATTCACTCTGCCAGAAATTGGACTGCTTGGTATTTACACCAATACAAACATTTTAGAGTGTTTGGGTGTCAATCTGAGGACAGTGCCAAGGATTTGGAAAGAGTTGCAATGTCTAATTGTGATTATGCAGCTCAAAAATCTCACTCGCTCTGATCATTCTGATAAGAAAAGAACTTGTGAATTTGTTGGTGTGGGCCTCAGACTCAACACAGAGGTCTACATCAATTGCCTTGAGGAGATAGTGCTGTCCTGGGTCAAGATGGTGGCTGCTGGAAGGCTTTATATCAGGTGCCAGGACTCTGCACCATGCCACGCAAGCAGGAGAACCCAGTCATAGCTGTCAGATAATTTCTGCGATCACACCACTCTCTACAACTGGCCATATAACTCCACCTAATTATTATGCATGGAGCGCAGCTGAGCAAGAGACCGAGTTTAATGTAGAATGTAGTTTATCATAACACTTTGTAATGGAAATAGCAATTTGTTTGCAATTTATGAGCCTGAGGAGGCGTCTGCAACAGGGACAGGTGAGCCACCGTAATAGACATGTATATGACTGGCCAGCCATTTTATACATGCAATAGCATGCAAAAATTCTCAACCATTATAAACTCTTGTAAATTTCTAATTGCCCAGATATGCAAGATGAATGTTTTTATTGTATTGTCTAAAGGTAAAACAGTGGCCATATTTGAGTTATTTTCATACCTAATTATCATATTTTTGAGCAGGGTTCTAAATCAGCAAAAGATTTCAGCCACTTCACATATGCCAAGTCAAATGCTGTGTTTTAAAACAGAAAAATATCTGTGATAAAAATTTATTATATTTATTTATATTGATTTTAAGAAGTTAATACACATTGCTAATATTTTGTGGTGTCAAGTGTCTTGAAGAATTGCTTCAATGCGCCTGGGATGGGATGGGATGCATACAAATCGTTCACCATCTTTATATCATCCTGGGTATGATGATAAACTACATCTGGCAGCAAGGCCTCTGATTGGGAAGTTTTGAGGAGCATGAAACCACCTCTATTCTCATGTTGACCCTATCCTGTGGTGGTAGCACCTGTTAGGGTCTCTGCTATAGGCAAATAGTGAACCCCCAAACTGGGGTCAAAATACTATGAAAGTATATAGATTTTTTGAAGAAAAGGTATCAGCAAAACGTTTTTGAAAAAAAAAAAAATGATACCAGCCATACATTTGACTTTTGACAAAAAACACTCTTTACAAAAATATGTCAATGAAACCTGATGTACAAAATGATTTCTTTCAAAGAATACCATATTCTACTCATATGAACCTACCCTAAAAATCTTGTCGACATAACTCATTGAGGTGTTGATATGCTGTAAAACAAACCAAAATCATCTTCATAGTTATTACATCCCCATTCTCTGTGGTTTGGATCCCACAATTCAAGTTCACATGGATTCTTCTGAAGAATTCTATTTAGCAGTTTTGTCAATATTTGATCCTTGATTTAAGTCATGATTCCTGCCTGATTTTTTGAAGAGGAGTTTCCTGTTTAGGATTGGATTTCTGGCTCCATCTAAAGTTTGCTCCAATTCTAGTCTCAGCCTAAGCTTTGTAATTTTATTTTTTTAATTCTTTTATTTAATAGGACTAGATAGGTTTACATATCATCCAGTTCACCTTTCCTTTCCTTTTTTTTCTTTCATTTTCTTTCCTTCTTTTCTACACTTTATATCTAATCTCTTTTTCTTTCCTTTCTTTTTCTTTTTCCTTTCTCTTTTCCTTTTTCTTTTCTCTTTCTTTTCTCTTCCTTTCTCTTCTTTATTCTCTTCCTTTCCTTTTCTTTCTTTCTTTTCTTTTCCTTTCTCTTTTTCCTTTCTCTTTTTTTCTTTCTTTTCCTTTTCTTTCTTTCTCTTTTTTACTTTCTCTTTCTCTTTTCCTTTTTTTATTTCTCTTTTTTTTCTTTTTTCTCTTTCTTTTCTTTTTCTTCCTTTCTTTCTTTTTTCTTTTTTTCCTTTTTTTAAATTTTCTTTTCTCTTCCTTTTTCTCTTTCTTTCCTTTTTCATTCTTCCTTTTTCTCTTTCCAATTCATATCTATTAATATAGAATATAGACCAATTCTATTATAAATCAAAAGAATTGACATGAGATTTTCCAGAAATCCTGATCTGTGTTTTTTAGTCTTTCTAATTAATTTATATTTTTTACTTCATTTTGTAGTATCGATAAAATATTGACGAAATTTTCAGACATAGAGAAATTTCATAGTCAACACATAATTTCATTGTTAGTTTAATTTTTTTTCAACCCGACTTTGCAATTCTTTGTTACTATTTATTTTTTTTATTCTTTTTTTACATCAATAAAACTGGATAGATTTGCCTATCACCAGGTTCAACGATAGTTCATTTATCCCTTGTTTCTTGTTTTTTTTATTGGGTTGGTCCATTCCTTCAAAAATTTTTCTCATTCTCCTTCATTCCAAGTAGCCCCTGAAATCTTGGTAGCATTGTCAATTAATTCAGATGAATATATTTTTTTTTGTTTTTTTTTTTAATCAAACCAAAGAAAAGCAGGATTGCCACTAGTATACAAAAACCAAAGAGATGAAAAAGAGTAAAAAAGGGGTTTTGGAAAAAAATAAAAGAAAGACAGGGATCATGGTCAAGGCATCAGAAGATGTCGATTGAACAATTACATTTGAAAATTATAGCCATCAGGGAATGAAGGAAGTTTTACAAAAGATGGCTACATTTAGAAGATTTTGAAAGGGTGGGACCAAGATGCCAACCTAGTAGCATGCTTAAATTCATTTTTAATTTGGGAAGCAAAGATTATAAATTTAAAAAATAAAACCTGTGATCTAATTTGATGAATCTTTCAATCTGGTGACACATTTGTGTTGCAAGCAGTCTGTTGTAGTACACCATAATGCAAAAAAAATCTAACAGGCTTCATCCAAATCTGGTGCTAAATGTTGTATTCAGCAACTGTATGTATTTGAGACTTTTAATGGTATCACCAATTGTGAAACAATTTTCTTGAACCATCCAATTTTTATTCAGCCCTAAAAAATATCAGACAAGAATATAAACCTTTACTCTTTTTAATGTGTAAAATGGGTCATTTCACACTACTGAATTGTTTTGAAACTTTTAATTTATTAAAATACAACTCATCTACATTTCACCAAAGAATGTTGTGAGGTCTGTTAAATAGCTCAAAATATATATTTACTATCCAAAATAAGTATTGAACTTAAAGAAAATCCTAATGTAAAACATGTCATTTAATAAGTTGACTTGTTCCACCTGCAGTTGAAATGGGTTCTTGAAATTTCAAATCCTTAACAAAAAAACTTGCTGTTTTTTATAGTCCTGCATCTTCACTGTTTCATGTTTTTTTATTTTTTTTGCCATGATTTCAAGTAATAAAATTTTGCAAATTGGAAAAAAAAAATCAATTTTTGGCTAAAAAAATATTTGCCTTTTGTATTGGAACAGAAAAGCTTTTTTAAAAAGGTCAGGTTATCCTTAGAGTTCAAAAATTTTGCACAAAACTATTTTTTACTTGTGATGTTCTTCCATAATCTTTGGGACCCCCTACACTAAAAATATGTTTGAGTGACAATCAAAGTTCACAATGAAAAATAACGTTTAATTTTAATTTCAGTGACTTAAAACATGGTTTTAAGATGTGGGAATACAAGGTTGAACTTGGAATAACACCAGTGGTGTAATGGACTAACCAGTAATTGTAATTGGATAGTTTTTCTTCTTCATTTCCAGCTTCGTTCAAGACATAAATACTAATCCAAAGGCACCCTCCACATCTTCCCAGTTATAGGTTCTTAATAAGTTTTGTTTCATTATTATCTGCCAAACCTTATTATACTTTCCATTATTTTCTGGCTTTTTTAAATAACCTTTTTTGTTGTTTTTCTCTTTCCCCAATCCATTTTGACTGAAAATTTCTTTCAAGATCTCTTTTTCATTCTTTTCATTTTTTTCAACCTTTTTTCTTCCTTTTTTTTAATTAACAAAATTGTTTTACATAAATTTTCAATGACGCCAGAAAATTCTGGAGTGAAATAGAAAAAATTTTTTTTCAAATTGCACCATGTCAAGGTATCGAAAAAAAAAAAAATTAAACATCCACTTATAAGATCTTCTATTTCAAGAGCTTAGGTTTGACACAAGGCCAAAAGTATAAGCTTTTCTTATACAATCTTTAATTTTTTCATTTGTAATTGTTTTGAAAACAAGTTTACTAACCATTTTAACACCATGTCCATTTTGCTTCAAATCCATTTACAAGGAAAAAAAAAATTTCTTGTTCTGAAAAGAAAATTTCGACACAGGAAAGTTTTTTTGTCTACTTGTCTTCCATCTTCTTTTCAATCAAGGTGACCCTTGATAAAATGGATATATGATAATTAGTTGCAAAAGTGACTCCAACATGGTCAGTTTCATATGCAGACAGTACAATAAAAATCAATCACTTTTAAAATGGACATTTTATTGAAAAAAAAAATGGCCAAAAAATCTGAACCTTTAGATTTTAGGCAAAACAAGTTTGTTAAAAATGGAATTTTTAACTAATGTTTCCTTAAAGTTACCGACAAAATTCTGTTGAATCTGTTAACTCAGAGACTGAAGGTTTGTCTCCAGTCAAAGAAAAAATCCTCTTTCATCTTTTGGTTCCACAAATCTTCGGTTCTTTTTCCTGCTGTTCAAACAAAATATTACGGATACCAATGGAATACGAATGGGGGGGTTTTTTCAAATGCTCTTGGCTCAATCAGAAGTCCGAAAAAAATTTTAAGAACGTTAAACAACTTAAAAAACTGTCTTAAAATAATTGTATAACTTATAATAAAAAATTTTTGTGACGTCATTTCAACATGTCATTTGATAATCTCTTATAATAAAATAATAATATACGCTCTAAATTTGTATTTGCACTTTTTAAAACAGTAAATATGACCATTGGAATTTTACTAAATCTGTTCTTTCCTTCATTTGGAAATATCTCTCCAATTCTAAACTGTAACGTTGACCTTGTATAAGAAACAGGTCCTATTCCTGGCTCAATTGGTATGTTTTTATGAAAAATTTTACAAGTTTGATTCCTGTTTATTTAAAAAAAAAAGAACGTATAAACATAAAAAATGTCTTTTTATAATTATATATATATTGTCCATTTCATAATATGTGATGTCATTTGTTTACATTTGTTTATGCATTGAGTGATATGAATGTGTTCAGAGAAAATCATGATTTTGTAATTAAAACAGTAAATCGACCTTGCTAACCGAAAACTTTTTCCTTTGTGGCTAATCAAAAGAACGCACGTCAGGTTATATTATAAGAGTTCCGTATAGGATACAGATATATATATATATATATATATTTTCAAAATATATACATTCAAATCCTAATTTCCAGCCTACTGTTTATCTAAATGAATTATTTTCCACCTGCAATTTTATTCCAAAGAAAAATTTAAACAAATAAATTTTTTTATTTTTTTTTTTTTTTTAAAAAATTTCAACGTTGTTTTATTTAAATTATTTTTTCGATAATATTTATTTAATTTTCTATATAAATCTTCTTAATGGATATTTTTTTCCCTAAATGGAAACTGTCCAAAATAAAATTGTTCATTTAAATTTTCTTGTAATCAATCATTTTTTTTTTAAATATAAAATTTAATTTGGATATTTATCCCAATTTCTTTTAGGTCTAATTTATTTTGAAACAGTTTGCCTGATATAAATTCTTTTTTTAAAAAATAAAAATGTAAAATTTTGACTTTAATATAAATTATTTTCCAGTTCATTTTTAAAAAAAATTTCCAAACTTTTTTAAATAATTGATCAGAATGAAAATTCTTTTAAATTTATAACTTTCTTTTTTTTTTTTTTTTTTGTAATTTTTTTGGGTTTTTGAATGTTTTTAAATATATATAGAAAGGTGATATATTTAATATATATTATATATATGATTTATACAAATTTCTTTGAATCCATATATATAATATATATTTTGTATTTATTATAAATATATTAAATAAGAATGTTATTTTTTATAATTTATTTATTTATATATTTTTAAATAAATATATTTATATATATAAATATATATTTTTAAAAAGTCATTTCAATACGATGATTTTTATTTATTTATTTTCTTCGAAAAATAAATTCCGAAATTAATTTTATAACTACCAGAAATTTTGTATTTTGGGTTTTTTTTTTTTGAAAGTGTTGTCATCCAAACTAATTGTTCTGATATATAATATATATATATATAGATTATCTATTGATTTGATTTTGTTTTTATATTATATCTTTCTTTATTTGAAATTTTAATTTTATTTGCACATAAAAACTTTTATAAAAATAATATTTAATATTTTATTTTTGGCAAAAAAGAGAAACAATTTTTTAATTTTTTTAAATTCAAGTTTTGCAAAATTTTATTTAATGGAATTTTAAAATGTTGAATCAGATAAATTTTTTGATCATAAATAATTTGGCCAATCAAAAATTTTCAAAATATTGTATTTCATTTTTTTTTTATTTTAACTTATAAAAATATATTGAACTTTGATAATGTTTTATATATTAAAAATATAATTCCTTTTCAAAATACTGATTTTGTTTTATAGATATATTCATAATATATTTACATATATTTTATATATATATTTCCATATGAATTTTTTTTCACTTAAAATGATTAAGATTCCTGCTTTAATATTTTTTTTAGGGAGATGGAAATTTTCCTTCTAAGGAAAATTGAACTTTCTCGTAAAATTATTAGCAAATAACATTTTTTTTTTTCATATTTAAAAAACATTTCAGAATTAAAACCAATTGATTTGAGAATGAAAATCTATTTAAAAAGGAACTAATTTAACATCCTCAAGAAGAAATTTTGAAAAAAATTATTTTTATTTGAAAAATAAAACATTAAATAGTGTTTTATAAAATTAAGAATTTCCATATATTTAATATAAAACATTTAAATTTTTACAAAAAAAAAATTTTATTCAATTGTATTGAACTTTAAAAGTAAAATATTTATATATTTATAA